TTCATCACCGAAGGGTGTCCGATCTCCCTGATGGCCAGTTAGCCTTTTGCTGCCTCGTAGAACATACAAGAGCTTGTGATCCAACCTATGCAGATCGATGATCTAATGCTGCATAGAAACTATCCCCCAAACTTAACCTCTTTTAAAAACAACCATTTTATTTACTTCTGATTCTGTGGCTGGAATGGAACTGCCACCGGACCCTGAGCGGACCGCTGATCCTGTCCCCTCGAGGTCGTGTTTGTGAGGTGTGATGTCCTGCCAGGTGCGTAGCTAGCCTCTGTAGGCTGTGCCCGATTTAGATGGTGTTCAGATGGCACCAGACGCTGGACTCAGGCCGGACGGGCCCGGGCGCCGGAGCTGTGGAAAGGAGTGGTCACACCAGCACCCTCACGAGATCCCCAGACTGGATGGACCAGCACGGGCGATGCATTTCCCACGGTTCCAGAGGCTGCGAAACCAGGCTCGAGTGTCCAGCTGACTGGTGTCTGGGCAATGCTCTCCCTGGCTGATGGGGGGGCCCCCCTGCCCGGTCCTCACACAGACGACAGAGGGGTGGGGCTGGGAGGAAAGGGGAGGGGAGAGAGAGGGTGCTGGAGGGGAGGGGCAGGCTCTCTGCTCTCCCCTCGAGGGCACTAATCCCACGGGGTCAGGGCCCCGCCCCCTGACCTCATGTAACCTCGGTTACCACCTCCAAAAGCAGTCACACTGGAGGTCAGCGTTTGAACTTATGTATTTGGGGGACGCAATTCAGCCCTTAGTAGGGGCACGGGCCACAGTCCCTGACATATCAAAGTCAAGAGAGGCTCTCATAAAGTAAGTGCCAACGTGACTGTGGAGTTACAAATGTGCCCCACGAAGGTGCCAGAAAACCCACTAAGCCCAAGGCAGCTGAATTGGCACAAACGCCACCAATGTGCCCCGAAAGGGACCGAGACTTCCCAACACAAGAGGCCTCTGTATCCCCCTCCTCCCCGTCTATGGACAGGAAGCTTCTCAGTTGCAAACATGGGTCATCTGTCACAGCGAAGGGCAGAAATCTCAGAGAATGTGCAGAGAACCTTGAACCAGAGCCTCTAGTTCAAGACTGGTCACCCACCCGCCCCCAGAAGAGGAAGACCTGGCCACACACCCCAGGATGGATTTCAACGCCTCCGTTTGCCTTGTGCTTCTCTTCCATTGGAAAGGGAATGTCTCCTGCAGCCGCTGTTCCCCTCGCCCTGCACGCGTGGCGACAGCAGGTGACTTTTCATTTTGGTGGAAGGGGTGAGTGGGGTTTCTTGTAAGGTCATGAATGCCATTAAGGAGATTCCCCCCATGACCGAATCTCCTCCAAAGGCCCTGCCCCCTCACCCCGTTACGTCAGGACTGGGGCTTCAGCACACCAGTTTTGGGGGAGCGCAGACACTCTGCCAAGAGGGCTGTCTTCAGGCCTCCAGAGCGGATTCGGAGAGGGACCGAGGGCACTGCTCATCTGAGACAGTGGGCCAAGCAGACCATCTGTTTTATCTAAGATGAACCACCGTTTGCCCAAAAAACAGGGGTACAACCTGGCCTGTGCCAAAGGAGGCAGTAGGGCCAAAAAAAATACCGCCCTCTGAGTTTGGCTGAAGTGAAGCTCATGTCACGGGAACACGGAGAGGAGACCTGCCGGAACCTGAAGGCTGCCAGGCTTCTCACGCAGCATCTTGGGAGCCGTGTGCCTCCGCGGTGTGTGGAGCTCTTGGCCACTAGCACCAGGTGTGCTCCCCCCAGAGGCACAGCGGCCGGGGAAGGAGGCTGGACATCTGAGTCCACGGGATGCTGGGCTCACCCAGCAGCAGTTTCCGAGCAAAACGCACGTGAGGTAAATAGGCCAGAATGTGGGCCAGGAGTCGGTGTGGTGGCCTCAGCTGCTTGTCGGCTGTGAAGGCCGGGTCTGAGCACCTGCACTTAGGATTCCACTGGGCGGCAGTTCCATGTACGTGCCTATGGATGTCACACGTGTGTCTCAGTTGCTGGCTTTTGCTTGGCTAAGAAATCAAGAAGATGGGCAAATCCACAGGGTTCTAGATTAAGTGAACTTGGGGTGAACGCAGAGCTCCAGGAACATGGACACGACTGACCATGGTGTGCTCCATGTGCATGGTGGTGTTGCCCAGGGTGAAGAGCTGGTGAACATCTGCTCCCGTTACCCGTTCCTCCTCCCCCTTCACGGGCAACAGTGCATCTCAGTCCTCACATGGACCTCAGGCCTGGTGACCTGCCCCGAGGCGTGCTAGTCTGCTGTGTCCCATCACGCCTCGCTGCTCGAGCAGGCTCCGCGCCAGGCTCCCCGTCACTCGGCCCGAGGACCTCCTCCGGGTGATCGCGAGCGTGTGTCCTGGAGCCCGAGCCAGTCTGTCCCATCTGCCTCGTCCTGGCTTGGCTAGCCCCCGTTGCCCTTGGCTTGGCAGCACCCCGATTTTCTGTAACACTCACACTTACACTGTCCTCCACAGGAGGATATCGGTAGCATATTATGTGGAGGTAGCCAAAAAGGCATGTGTTTAAAGTTAATTTTTCCATTACATGCTGGGTTTTTTTGCCCCCCCCCCCCGGTAAATTCTAGTGGATCCCCCATTTGAAGTCAGTGACATGCAAAAACCTTCCTTTGCCAATTCATTCCTGCTCTGGTGACTACAATTTTTTGACTCAAAATCTGGACACACCATCTTAACAGTTGGGTTGTTTCTGTGTTGGTTCCCAGTGCTAAAGGCAGACTGAACGGTATGGCAGGTCTTGGACACATCCACAGATTGCAAAACAGCTGGACAGATGACTTAAAACTAGGAGTGTTCTAAGAATCTGGGACTTCCGGAGGACGTGTCCGTGTTCACTCATTTTTCCTCCCATCGTAGAGGCATTACGTTCTGTGTCTGCCTTTGTTTTATGAGTCTCGGTCTTAGTCCTTAGAGTGTTGGCTTGTGAGGACAGAAGGCACGGATCACGTGCCTCTTCATTAGTTGTGCCCGTATGATGCAGGCACACAGTCATCTGCAGAGATGATGGCGCGATGTCAAGTGTTCAGGTTAGGTGCTTGCAAACACTGCTTGGCATTAAGGCAGAGGCGCCCGGAGAAGAGTGTCCTGCTTCTTCCCTCTGGGGAGCAGCTCAAGTCAGGCCTGCGCACATTTTTGTCAAGAAGGGTGTAATTGTTCTGGCCCTGTGTGGCCAGGGGTCTTGTCTGACAGTCTGAGTTCTATCTATCAGGGCCTTTAAATGCTGACTTGCCTCCTAAGAAACATAAAACCCCAAACATCATGTATAAAGGTCCCCGGGAATGGCCTGGGTCAGAATAACTTGAGTCTGTTTGCGGCAATGCCTTGGAAGGAGGGGGCAGCTGAGCCCGAGGCTCCCTGGGAGAACTATGTTGCTGGATGCAAACAGAGAACAGGAGAGGTTTGTAGCGGAGTTTTTACTTGTAATTCAAATGCCAATCTGACAATGAAGTGCGTTCTGGGAATTCCAATCAGGAGTTTTTATCATCTGACTTGGAAACCAGCTGCGCCCTCAGTGAGCACAAAGATTCACCACGTGCGATTGCTGTGATTCAGGAGAATTATGTGGAGGTGAAAAACTTGAGAAAAACTCTATTTTAAATGCAAGGAGAACCAGATTTTAAGAAATTGTTTTTCTGAAACCTATGAAAATGGCTTTAATGAAAGTAGCAGAGAATCGAGGTGTAAGAACTCTTAAATTCAGAAATTCAAGTTTACCTCAAAGTTCGCTTTTAAAGACATGAGTGAAAATTCCCAGTTTTGTAAAGACTGCCTTTTAAGTAACAAAAGGAGCTAACTCCTAAATTAAACATCACACCCAGAGCCCCGACACCGCGCTCTGGGCAGCTGAACACCAGAAAGAGCTCTGCCAACCGCCTGACCCACTCACGGCGGCGATTCTGAACAATTTCCTTCCCGGAAGCAATTGTGCGGATTTGCGAATCATGTACCTAAAGTCTCTTGAGTTTCATGCTTTTAAGAGGCAAGAGCTACCGGGGAAAGCTGGGCACGTGGCCATCACCCAGTGGGCTGGGCACCTGCCGGCCCGTCTCACACTCGGGACACAGCCCTAAACCGAGGCAGTGAGATGCCCACTTACGTCGCCACCCGAGCGCTTGGGCACCACCTGGGAAAGTCCAGCAAGGTGAGCTCTTCAAAATAATGGTTTCGGGGGAGTTCTTATAGGCGCATCTGAAATCATCCCACAAGCACACACACAGTCCCTGAGTGGGCCATAAAGCAGCTTCCCAGTGGAGGCTGCAGGGAAGGGCCCAGCCTGACATACACAAGACACATCCAGGGCTCAGAACCGCAACTTTACTAGCACAGTAAGTTTAAAATGAGCTGAAAAACAGGCAGAAGTGGCATCTCTGGCTCTCAAGCTACTCATCTGTAGAATAGGGTGTTTAACCCCAATGATCTCCGAGTCCCACCCAGCCCACCTGCCCATCATTCCTGCTTCTCCACACGCCTGGTAAGGGAGGGACCCAGAGGCTGTGACCAGGAACCAGACCACAGGGGGCAGCTGGCCAGCATCCTGGAGCCCCACTCACTCACCTGCCTGCCCTGACGGCTCGCGCACAGGTGGGTGACGGCAGCCAGCACGTCCTGCCTGGGAACACAGGCTGAACTGCTAAGAACTTTTAAGAAAGTTTGAAAAAAGATAATCTTTTTAAAAGAAAAAGTCCTAAAAAAGATAAATGACAGACCACATTAAAAATGCATCAGACTTGCTTATTCCTTAGAAAAATAAGTGTACTGGGCAATGAGGCTTTGTTTTAATGTCATCCACACATAAAAACACAGCCATCTATATAAACGCCTCTGTTCAGAGAAGTCAGTAATGAAAAGCTGTAATTTCAACTCAAATTATGTAATATAAAAACGCAAAGGTTATCCACATTACCAGAATATCCTCACACAAACTCACTTAAAAACAGGATGTACCCCACTTTTTCAGAAATTATTATGGAAAATATATTACGTTGTCGTCATCCTCTTTTATCATGGTGTTTTAGACTTATATGTAATATTTGTACTTGGAATAGTTGATAAAAAGACCATCAATTTAGTGTGATATTCATGGATTTCATGACAAAACTACAATCTTTTTACACATTCACATACAGCAGTCAAATACTAGTGATGTAATTAACAAACTAGTCAAGCAGAAAGAAAATAGCCATTTTAGCAATTTAAATGCTTTATGACAGGATAATTTATATACAACATGTAAAACATATTTACAGATAACAAAGGAAAATCAATTTTTTGGATAATCAGAAGTAACAATAAGATTTTCTACATAATTTTCAGCCTCACCAGAGAAGTGTTTTCATTGTCTAAATTTAATCAATGTGCTGATTAAAGATAACATACTAATAGTAAAATTATCTGTATTATGGTACACTTCACACACATTTGTGTGTATCAAGTGACCGAACGCACGGCTGTAAACCACAGCCACCCAGAAGGAGGCTGGGCACGAAGGGGCCCCGCCAAGCGGAGCGGTGACGTCGGGGTGTCTGCGGCTCCGCTGAGACCCAGCGGCTGGCCCGGCTCCTACTGGGGCTGCTGCTGGCTCTGTCTCTTCCTCACGTAATCCTGCGCCTCTCCTCTGATTACAAACGACTGTTTCTCAACACTGTGCCAGGAGAAGGTGAGTTCAGCTGGGTTTACATCTGCCTGCCTGGTCCAGACACCACTGCCACCCAGGCAGCTTCTGACATGCTCGTCAACTGCTCGTTTCAGCCGGTAGCAAGGTGCACGGGGGGGCTGGGCCAAGGTCAAGGAAAACAGTGGCCCTGTTACAAAAGTACACATTTTGTGCATTACGAATGAGCCCCGTTGGGTCAAACATGTTACACTAAAGCCAACCACGGATTCGAAGCGACTGCTGTTTCAATCCGAGGTCCCGGCATGACCCACGGCAGGACTTACTGAACGGCGCCCGTGTCAGTTCAAGCGCACAGGGCGCGTCAGGCGGTCAGAGCCGCCGGGGCACCACCTGCGGCAGGGCTGACTTCCGGCCGCGGGCCGTCTGGCTCAGGACGGCGACTGCCACCGGCTTGCCTGCACCGTTCGCCTGCCTTTGGGGAGACGGCCTGCTCCTGATGCCTCTCGTTCTCGCCGGCAAACCCTAATGCCACACTGTTCCCTGCAGGCGGGCACGGCCGGCCTGGACGAAGCACCTCCTTCCGGGCGTCGGCCTCTCGCTCCGCCGTCGACCTCGCCGCCTCCGCCTCCAGCCCCAGGGTGCCCTCATCAGCCTGAACGTCCAGCTGTCGCAGCAGCTCCGCCAGCTTCCGGGCCTTGCGGAGCTCGTTCTGCTGGATGATTGTGCAAAGGTGCTCGGTGAGCTGCTCTTTGACCTCCGTCTTGCGCTGCAGGTCAAGCTTTGCTGTGACGTACTCGGCTTCGGCCCTGTCGAACCGCTTCCTGGGGGGAGGTGCAGAGATCGCTCCGTTAGCTTTCTGCGAGGAAGGTGCCCAGAGGAAGGCCTGGACATGGTAATTAAACTCCAGGACTGGAAGTAAAGTGCAAAGTGAAGATATGGCGTCAACAGCTTATGTGCACTCATTACACATGAGACCAACTGGGCTCCTGCTGCTGAAACCTCGGGGGCGCCCACATCCGACTCTCCTAATGTAACAAGGTCCCTCCGCACGCGCCTTCCCTTCCCAGGAGGCATCTGAGCAAATGCGGGCCGAGCACAGGTACGAGGCAAGCTCGGCGGGGCAGCACCGCTCGTGTCCGCTCACCCGCGTGCCACCGTGTCTCAAGCTACCGCCATGGCGTCAATGGGGGCAGACCCGGGCAGACGCAGCCTGCTCCCGGGCCAGTGCACACCAGGGCCGGCACACAGCTGGTTGTGGTGAGCAGGGAGGCAGAGGAAGGACACCTGTCCCACTGGACTCACGGGTCAGGAGAGGAAGGAATACTGTGGCACATGAGGACATGCCCATGGGTGGAGGTGGCTGGGATGGGACAGGGTGCACCCAGCAAGGGGAGGCCCGGAGAGGACAGCAGGGGGCTGGGGTCTTCAGGCTCATTCTGGGAAGGGCTCCTAGGCCTCAGCTCTGGACACCACGGGCTGTGGACTTGTGTGGGGTGCCTGTGTACTGGACACCACCCGCTGGTGCCAGGAGCGCTCAGCAGCTGTGACCGCCAGACACCCTGCGTGTGGAGTGAGGGTCCCTATGACCTGGCCCTGGCCGGCCAGCTCACTGCACATGTGTGGGCAATACGTTGCTACTGACTCTGTGAAAGAGCTCTGCCCAGGGCTCTGGGCTGCACAGCTGCAGGAGGCAGGGGCTGGAGTGGTGGCAGTGCCGAGGATGGAGACTGAGATGGCTGCAGGGGCAGAGGCCCCGAGGCAGAGACCGGCTTGCTGCGCAGACTCGCTCTGAGTGGACGGGGTTCTAGTGAGTGACCTCCCCCATGGGATTAAAGTTGGGTACAACCCTTTCACCCTAAGAACGTTCTACTGTCATGTTTCGGTCTTACTGAATCCATAGTGAACTTGCCCGGGGCTGAAACCCACTGGCAAGACACACTGTCTCCAGGTATTTTCAAGGACCCTGTGGGCGAAACCCATCCCAGCTGAGTCCCAGGCTCACGCACTTCTCGCTGGCCACTCTGCGACAGCACCTCACTGACACGTCCACCGGGACACCAAGCTGGGCCTGCATGTGAGGCCAGAACACCAGCCCTGCTTGGAGAAGGCTCATTCTGTCGCGGAGTCACCCTCTGACCTCCTTTCTTTCCTTTTGCATTAGGTTGATACAGAAAGAAAGATGATCCTATCCCGGCTAACCTTTGCCTTGTCCATACATTTGTGGGCTTCTGTTTTTGCCGAGATCAATCCCTACCTGCCAGCTGGTCATTTACCGTAACTACCGCTGACGGTGGTACAGGCCAGGCTCACCCCTGCCTCACCTGCTGTGACGGCCCAGTCAACTCAACGCGCTCATTTCCAACACTAGAATTACAGCAAAGGGGAAACGGGCATCCCAGCAGGACCCTCCGCCTCGGGAGGAACACAGTGAGAAAACACAGGCTCTGGTTCCGGAGAGCCCAGGGTCCAGGGCCGGCCTCTGCCGTGCACGTCACGTGCCTGGAGGGGGGCTCTGGTGTGGGGCCCACGGGTCGTCTCAGGCGTGCCCCCGGGCCCCAGGCTGCTCTCCTGGGTCAGAGCCGCGATCCTCTCACTGGGCTGTCCTGCCCACCCCCGGCCCAGTGTGGCCACCCGCCGCGGCTCCGTCTCAAGCCCGTTCCACCGGACCTCTCAGTGTTCCAGTCCCCGGGTTCCAGAGCGAGGCCCCGGCTGGCGTGGCTCCCATCAGTCCCAACGAGCTCCCAGTGCCAGGCCCTGCCAGGAGCCCATGCTGAGCCCAGGGACGAAATGCTCTGCAGCCGGTAGCTCATCTCAGTTCTCACTGCCTGTGGGAAACGCGGCCAGACCGTGCGGGCAGGGCTGGAGAAGAGGCAGCGACTGACAGTGCCAGGGCTGTGAACGGCAGCGAGGCAGGACTTCATGGCAGGTTAGGGACCCAACAGCCCACGCACGCAGGTCAAGGGTCTGCACAGCTCTCAAGGAACAACCTCCCCACCGGGCCTCAGAACCAAACGGCACCCAGTGGTCACTGAGCAGGTGGTCTACAACTACGATCAAGTACAGTTCAAGGATCTAGTGTTTGTACTCGAAAACTCTTATTTATATAACATCATATACCATAGGAGAATGAGAAAACTAGCTCTTTTTCAATGACCGCCTGTATAAAAGAACTGTTCTAAAGGGGCTCTGCTGGTATCTGAACCCTCCCCACCCTGACGTATCCTGCTGACGAGTACCCTGCATCGAGCTGGAGCTACGTGCCTGTCCTTGGGGACGGGGGCTCTGAACACCCTGCCCCCTCCCCTCTCTGTGGTCTGCAGTCTGTGGTTCCCCTCAGCCAGCCACTCAGTGAGCAAAGGTCCACGGACTGGGCTCACTAATGCTGAACTGAAACTGTATTTGCAGAGAGTTCCCTAGGTTTCCACTGATCTTTCACCCTGGGTAAATCACTGAAGATTTTGCTTTTCTATTTATTTAAAGATCTTTTGTCTAGAAACATATATATATGTATTCTTACACCGCGTGATTTATTTTTAAAATATTGATTAGTTTCACGAACTGCACTGCAAGTCCGGGAGTCAGGTGGGTGATGCCAAGTCACAGTATGACGGACACGTGCAGTAAGACAAACTGAATTGGAAATGTAATCACGGAATTGTTTTGTTATTTTAAAGGGACGCCGAGTGATTTAATAAATGATGCTCAAAGGATCCTAGAGCTGCCTCAGGAACCTCTGGTATGCCATTAGGCCCCAGGGATCCACTTTTACATTCACAGTTCCTTTTCTGAGCACTTCCTCCTATCTGTAAGGATCACCATATCATTATTTGTATAGATACAGAGAAGAAAGAAAACAATTTCTTTCAGAGAAGAAAAAAAACAATTATACTTTTTAAAAAAAGAATAAAGCTAAGTATATTTTGCAATTATCATATGGGTCCACAGGACCTTTTATAAATCTAAGATGAAGTATGGGTTGAGGGTACATTATGAAATACATTAATATTTTTCCTGTATCTTGAAACATTTTGCCATTTTATCACCATAGGAATTATTTTGGCATTGCTCATCAATTATTACCATGTATGCTACAAAAATCAAAATAAGAAAAGAGGATGCTGGAGTGGGAGCGGCCCGAAGGCTGATGCCAGGATGAGCTACGTCATCATCCGCCTGCTGTGTGCCCAGCACTGCACCGGCTTCCAGGGGGGAGTCAAGGGGCTGGAAACACCGGGTGTGCAACCTGCTCTCATCCTTCACTGAACACACCTAACGATGTTTTCTCATTTTCTGCCCGTAATGGCAAAGTAGAGAAAAATTGGTAAAGATAGTTTGTAGTTAGTAGACAAATCAGATGATGAATGCTGTGGTTGGCTGAAAAGTGATCCCCAAAGACACTCACTTCCTAATCTCCAGAATGTGACTACTACCCTCATACGGCAAAATATGAGATTAAGTTATCATTTTAAGACTTCATTCTGGACTAACCAGTTGGACCCTAAAGGCATCACATGGGTCCCTTCGAGAGAGGCAGAAGTTTGAGGGCAGAGGAGGGAGCCGGGGGCAAGGGGGACAAGAATGGTTGGGGGGGCAGCTGCCAGCCAAGGGGTGCCTGAGCCACCGCAGGCGCGAAGGGCACGGGGCGCCTCCCTGGAGCCTGTAGAGGCAGCCCCGCGACACCGGCTTCCCAAAGCGAGACAGAGTAACTTCTTCTGAAGACACCAGGTGCTGACATTTTCTATGGCAGCCCCAGGAAATCAATACAAATGCAGACAGATGATCTAAACGCTAGACATGTGAAATCTCAGACTGAGTCTTCAAAAAACACATTCAGGTGAATTTTCTCGATTTGAGGATGCAAGGAAGATACACTTCACTCATTTGGACAAATAGGGACTCTGTCATTCTCAGAGGCAGTAATTTCAACAGGAAGAACTGAGTCACACAGTTTTACACGTCCCAGGACTGTCCTGTGTGCTGAAAGGACGTGACCGCTTCAGCTTCTCATGGTGTTCCTAGTCAGACACTGCTCGACACAGACGTGTCTGCCCTGCTCACACTCTTACTTAAATTTTAATAAAATTGTTTTCCACAACCCCCTTTTTTTTTTTTCTTCTGTAAGTCATTCACAAAATGGCTTGACATGTGTCTGTGCACCCGGGTATGCATGGGTGTGTGTATCGAAAACGGGAGTGTCTGTTAAACAGTGGCGGCTGTTTTCCTGGTTTGCTGGGGGTTAAAGAATGTTCTGGAGGCAGCTGCTCTCAGACCAACCGGCTGGGCGCACGGCCCTGGCACTCCGCAGCTCCCACGCTGCTCACCCCAAGGGCTGGGCTCCTGGGCGGTGTCTGCCCTGCCTGCTCTACGGAGGCTGACCTCACAGCGAATTCTGGCCTGTTCGGGATCCAAGAAACCCACGTGCACACGGCTTCGTTCCAGGTACTACAGAACTGTGTTCCTTCTACTTAAGCAAAGCCAAGGGACTCCCACAGAGACTGGCTGCCCTGGGGGGCTACCTTCCAGGAGGAAGCTGGGCTGTAATTTCTCAATAACCACAGATGTGGATTTAAAACATGTCTTGATCTCACACATTAACAAGAAACGCCCCGGTGCCAGTCACAGCTGTCCATGGCGGCTCTGACTGTAACTCAAGAGCTTGTACATTCATGCACAACCGGGTCGACATCAGCACGAGAAACTGTCGGCTTCAGCTTAAGAGATATAAAAACTTACCATGTAAAATTTTTTAATTAATTAAAAGTATCTATATATTATGGGATGTTTCTCTTTTACCAGCGATCCTACCACCTTCTTTGTGGTTCTCTGAAGGCTAAAACTATGGCACTTCTTGTGTCACGGTCAGTACAGAGAGGTGTCCACACTCCAGGCTCCTCTGGGACAGAGCTAGGACAGGGATGACATTTCCATGGGGGCATCCAGAATAATCTGACTCCCGTAAAGGGCTGAAAAGCATAGAATGTTCCTCTGGCAAACTGGAATCACAATAAAATGTGCTAAGAACCTAGGCTTAGTTTTAATAAAATCTTGTTTACGTACCAAATGACCTTACTAATAGTGATCAGGAACCTCCAGTTATCAGCTACTGATGTATTAATTAGGCAACTAATCAATAAAGACAACCCACTAAGTCTAATAGCATTGGTCAGACACCACTTACAAAAATCACAAGGCTGGCACAAACCTCTTCCTAAACAGGAAACAATAAATTAAAAACCAGTCAGCATTTGCGCTTTACTGTTTTGTAAACATTCTGATGTGTGGTTACCAGGGACGATGAGGCGTCCTGAGTGGCTTCCGGCGGTAACAGAGGACGACGCAAGGCCGACCCACTAACGCAGCGGCCTCCCCTCGTGAGCGGAGACACAGGGCTGAGAAAAGCAGTGTTGAAGGTATTGAAAACCCTGAAATTGGACTTAACTTTTTGCCCTTTTTTCTGTTTGCAAAGTTCATGTAATTCTTTACAGGTGAGTTCATTTTTAAAAAACTTCGTGACTTTTTTCCTCTTTAAAAAAACGTCAGTGTTAGAAAACACCTGACAGCAAACCAGATTTTACACAGAATCTTATCAAACAGAAAAAAGAGAAAAAACCTCAAGCTTTCAAGATAAAGTAGTATTTTCTTTAAAATACTCAAAGGCTTAAAAAAACAAACAGACCTTTCTTTGGTGAAAGCCAAAACGAGACCTAGGCTGCTCCTGAGGAGCACCTCGGACAATCAGTGAGCGCAGAGTCGGGGTGAGGGGGGCTCTGGGGCAAGTTATTCGGGCGTTCAGGGTCCCAGACACTAAACACCTGGTGGCTTAGCAGAGAAGACTGACATGTAAGTAAATTATCCAAGAAATGCTCCAACAGGAACATGAACAGTGAACAGGCAGGCAGACTTGAGGAAGAAGAGACACTTGATTCAGTAGAGCAGGAATATCGCAGCCTGCAGTGGGGTTGCGAGGAGGCCCAGATGACATGCAGAGGCCAAGGCTGGCCAGCAGTGGACACTGACTCACTTGACCGCGCCCCCGGGTCAGGCGACTCCCCAGCTCACCGAGCATATGCGTACTCCAGGCTGGCCTCGTCGATCCGGTTCCTGAGGATCCCGATGTCAGCGGACACCATGTCGTCTAAAGCCTGCAACTCCTTCTGGATGCGCTTCAGTTTCATGGTCTCTGCCTGAGTTCTTTTAGATCTAGAAAATCAGGAACATGGTTGAAAAAAATAAGAACCTCTAAAAATCACATATCCATACAAAGGAAAGTGAAAAAGCAAGTTACTGTATAGATACTAGGTCTACAATGCATGATTTTCAAAAATTAAGAAGAACAAGGAAAACTGAAATCAAACAAATGCTGGTGGCGTTCTGGCATTCCCTGGGACCGCGCCTGGGCTTCCCCCACCACGCCAAGCTGCCTGTGAGCATGGATCACTTTTACACACAAAGGAAAAGAAAGATGAAGAATTGCCAATGAATGGTTCACTCTCAGGTCTATATTCACTCCGTAAGGACAAGAATGAGCAGGGACGCACCCCATCTCCTTCCACTGGAACGTCCACCACAGCGCCCACCTTCCAGCCTCACCCCCCACTGCTAAGCCCACTGTCACCTGTCTGATGCCCAGACACCAAGTGCAGAGGCGAGCATCGCATGACATTCCTCACCGTGTCTGAAACCATCTGCTTGGTCTGACCTTTCATAGGACTAGATTCCCCCAACTTCTATTACTTTGATTCTTATTCTTTACGCAAAACTACAGGTCCTCAAAATTCTTCCTTCTAGGGCTCAGAAACACTTTTTTCCTTGTTCACAAGCATAACTGACCCCATCATCTGTCCTAGGTCCCCCACATACACTACACACTTAAAAGAAACACGACAGACACACACAAGCCGGCCTTTGGCCACAACCTCACTCCTTTCAAAATCACGCGCTCTCACAGGACAGCTGCCGCACTGCACCGCGTGTATTGTATGTACAATCTCCTGGCTCCTCCTCCATTACACACTCACCCTTGTTTCCTGCCCACAAAAGTCAACTCAAAAGTAGGATTCTTTCACTTGAGGTCCCTCAATGCCCATTTGCTAACAAGCTACTCAGGTCCTATTTCCTTTCATCTCTGTGTCAGGACTTTCTGTCTTAAATCCGAAGTGCGTAGAATGCAAATGCTGAGCCTGTAAATCTTTTCGTAAAATCCTAGTAAACAGCATTCCTAACCTCTTCCAAATGAAGACCATTAAAATGCTTTTCAACTACTTTTCAAAAATTTTGTTCTTTTTCTTGAAACATAGTAAAGTTCATAAGTTGCATATTTCCTATGCCTCATGAAAGATCAAGGTGTACCAGTAGGAAAAAAAGTCATTTTCAAGTACGCAAACCCTCTGGCAGATACCCTGCGGTGCACTCACTCCCACCTGCCTCCCTCTCCGCCCCAGCCCTTCCCCCGACTCACACGCGCACCCCATCAGGAGGGCTGCCCCTCGTTTGGGAGGCCTACACAGATGCATGCTGCTCACACTAGTTCGTACCACCCTCCACCTGCTTCAGGGACTCAGCATGTCCCCCTAGGGACATGGCACCTCAGTAGTACACACTACAGGGCGGAAGGAGCGGGCGAGGGACAGGAAAGTGGCTCACACAGGACACGAGGCCAGTGCAGTAAAGGGGCAAATGGACCCCGGGAGGCTGGAGAACAAGCAGCCCCTGTGTGGGCCGGCACGCATGACAGCGACCTCGAGCTACCGAGAGGTCATACTGCGTCACGCGCCTTCCACAAGAGGGGCAGGTCAGTGATTCAAGAACGTCCACAGGCGACACACTTAAGATGAGTATAAGTCTACGTCACTTCACTCCTCTACACACAGATGACCCTGGCCTCCCTGCTGAAACTGAAAGCTGCCCCTGTGACTCATTTATTTACATTGGCAGCTATTTTCTGCTCCCTTGGGGACGCGGAGATGGCTGAAACTGCGAACACGAATGACCCTGAAGGGTTAATTCATTACAATGTAGGCTTAGAAAGTCCTGTTTAATAAAATAACATTGGAATTTCAGTTCATTCACAGAGCATGACTTGTTTAGCTGGCCTCAGAAGGAGCGACTGACGGCAGAGGATGTCAGTACATCAGCCAACCCGGGAAGCCAGGTGCGAAGCAGGGCAGTGCTGGCCGCGGGCGCAGCCTGGCGCCTCACCTCTCGGCGATGGCCTCGGCCAGCAGGGCCTTCTTGCGTTTGTTCTCCTCCTCCATTAACCGCTGCTCTTGCTGGAGGACTTCCCAACGAGACTTCTCCTGCCTAGGGAGCAAAGGTATAAAAGTGAGTTTCTAAAACCCCATCCCACACCTCACTGGTCTCAGTACCCCAACTGTAAGCCAGTTTTGAATATTTTCCTTCAAAAGTCTGCAGCTCATGTTGTTCTGATAGGAACAGAGACTGTGGTCTGAAGTGAAGAAAGCTTACGTAAATGGCCCTTTGAAATCCACTGGATACATATAATCTAGGAACCCACAAACTAGAAGCCAGAGTACTGTGGCAGTTTTGGGAGTACAAAGAAACTCATGTAAGTTAATTATGTATTACATGCAAACGGAGAGCAAAGTAAATTGGCCTATAGCTAATGTCATGTTACATCTTTTAGAGTTTTCTATAATGAAAGTCTCTACCACCTAACACCCTTAGGACCCTAACCAATGTTTATTTCATTCATTTTCTTTCAATTTGCTCACTTTTTTCTAGCTCTTAAACATTTTTAAACAGTGAAACATGATGAGCCAAGACTTGAATGCTTTTTTTAAAGAAAAACTTCAAAGATCTGAAAACACGAAATGTCTTCCAAACTGTCCAATTCTGAAGGACATGTATTAAAACTTCCCATAAATTCATGAACTTGATGTGAACTCCAATTAAACAAGGTAATAAAAGCTATTTACTCCTATCATCATCATTTCTCATGGCCATTCTATCAGAATGTCCACTCCCAGGCCTGGTAAGCACTTCGGAGCCACGCCTCTCTCCGACCCCCAGCCCCCAGCTCGGTGCTGACCTTGGTCCTCCTCCTTTCTCACTAGGGGCGCCTCCAGCTCCCCCCCCTCCCCCGCCCCCGACCCCCGAGCTTCCTCTGACGTCACTCTGGCCCGGTGACTCTCCTCAGGGAGCTCGCCAGGCAGGCCTCCCTGCTTCTCCCGCCGTAGCTCCCCATCCCCCGGCCTGCCTCTGCCTGAGAAGTGAACCGTCGTTTCTGAGCATTCGCTAGGGCACAGCTTTCCTTTCCCCTTCCTACAGCCTACAATTTCTCCTTTTCAACAGTCCTGAGATTGCATGTCTACTATGAGCATTTCCCCAAGTACCTAAAAAAAGAGTATTTTTCCTAATGACATTTGATCTGAATTCTCCAGCTCAATTTAAATCCACCTCCACTTATCTCAGGCCTTTGCTGGTAAACTACACTTAAAGATATTTAAATGTATGTACTTGTTCAATGTTGGTCTCATAATTCATGTGGCTTTATCTCTTGTCAAAACGATTTCTTGGTTGTAAACTCCTGATGGGCAGGGAACACTTTAAACTCACAGTACAGAATCTGGACCAGCAGAGATTGGAAAGATATCTGAGATTAGAGAAAACATAAGGTACTTTGAAAAACTCAAGAACTAGAAAACAGAAACAAATGCCATCCTTTCTTTCCTGGGAGCGATCAATCAGGCGGAAACAAGTAAGAGCGGATATTACGACATAAGCTGTATGGTTGACCCTTGAACTATGCAGGGGTCGGGGCACCAACCACCCAACACAGTTAATCTGTGTGTAACTTCCGACTCCCCAAAACTCAATTACCAATAGGCTACCATTGATATCTTACCCATAACATAAAGTCCACCACGTATCTTGCAAATTTTATGTATTATATACTGTATTCTTACAAAAGAAAACCAGAGAAAATTTTTTTCCAAGTCGTCACAAATCTCCAAAGAATTTTTTAATAGATTAAAAAAATCTTGTTTGACCCATGCAGTTCAAACCTGTATTGTTCAAGGGTCAACTGCATAATAAAAGAATTCTGACTATAAGAATCCACTAGTCATAGGATGGCAATTTCTATAGGGATGTGACTGAACTAAATTCTGGAGATGGTTTCTAATACAAACACATTTAATAAAGAAAAGGAAGTCTGCTGCGTAGCTGAATTATCTGAGCAGTCTCCTCAAGGCCTACTCTTTCCTCTGATCCCTGTTCCGTCCCTTCCCAGGCCCTCTTCTGGGCCCGTGAGACAAGACGAAGCCTGAAAGCTGAAGGGGGGGTCTCCATCTGGGGACAGCTGTGCCCATAAGAGGTGCCGCTGAGTGGTAGCGACACAGACGTTACCCAGAGATGTGCATGGGAACCCCAACTCTGTGGCTGACTAGGGGTGTATCTGCCTGGGGGACACACGTCCTCTCCAGGTCCAAGATACCTCATCTGCCAAGTGAGGATAATGCGCATGTGTGGGACGGCGGCTGTGAAGACTAAATGGCTCAGAAAATACAAAATGCCTAAACGATGGGCTTGTAACATATATGGGTGGCAGGCATTGTTCAATAGTTTATTCAGTACATTACTAGGTTAGAATATAAAACAGAAAATGTTAGAACTACATTTCTGCAAAGCCCAATGGGAAAAGAAAGGCAAAATGGAGAAGGTCTCATGGACAATACAGACTTACTAACAATTCCACTTTCTTTTCTCCCGGTGTGCAGTCTGGCTTGGGGGGCAGAGCCTCCGCACTTCTGAGGCCGTCATGGGAATTCTCAAGCCCCAGGGTCCCTGGCCGACTGCCAACACCCTGCGGTTCTCCGTCAGCCCCAGGAGAGGTGAGAGTAAGGGGACCAGGGGCAGGACGGGGAGAGGAATGTGGTTTTGGAGCATCAAGCCTCTGGTCTGGGGCAGGAAGCAGCTGCTCTGGAGGTCCTGAGGTCGATCCATCCTGAAGTCCAAGTTTCTGGCTTTGCTCTTGAAGAGCTTTTCTTCGCTGAAGTTGTTGACTTTTCTTCACGGGAAGACACTGCTGTGGTTCAAATGGATCTATATAAACAAGGAGTGGGGAAAATCCCTTAGTGTGAGCAGCCAGTAATTATAATCTCTCTAAGGAAATAAAGCATTAACATTAAAGTACGGATGATTCTGCAGGGTCTACCCTCCTTCTTTATCTTAAAAGCCCACAGCAGAACAGCCATCCTCCATGGCCTTTCAACAATTGTCTCATCATGCTGTTACTATCTGACAAAAGTTATCCCAGCTCTCAGTTTATCTTCAAGAAGTCCATTCGTCTGTGAGTTACACCTCAGGACACAAAGCAAGGTTTCTTTTTCATAGTGATCTGGTTAACTGTCAAAAGAATCAACCAACTCACCAAACCTGGGAGACAAATGAATTCTCTGATACGTCTTATATTTGGTTTATTTATAGTCTGTCAAAAACAAAATGAAGGCTGAGTTTTCAAATGGGCTTCACCTTTCCTAAGTTTTAACAGATCTTCGGGCAATTCGATACATAGGTAGATATTATATACACAAAGGGTAACTGAGAAGTCTCATTTCTAGAAATGCTAGTTAACCCTAAATTGTTTTCCTTCATCTTCCAGAACAGTCCAAGGTCGTGTTCCCCAAAGTCTAGTCAGCCGTTAATCAATGTGTGCGAGCTAATTTTAATAGCAGCCTGAGCAATGCAACAGGGGAAGATAAAACAAGGAGGAAACTTTAAAAAAGCCAAATCCTTCTATTACACCTTCTGGATTGTTCACACCACTGTTAACCTTGCAGGGCAGACAACTGGAGGATTTGACTCATGTTCATACTGTGTTTAATAAGATCTATAAATGGTATTCTCTAAGAAATGCCTGGGAAATGGAATTGTAATTCCCTGTAAATGAACTCAAACAGGGCCTTTAGATTCCGCACATTAACCTCTGAGACAGCACAAACCTGGCACTTAAATGTCCCCAGGGAGAGTTAAGCACCTCGCAGCTACGGCTCCGGGCTGCCCCCACCCCACTCGGGGACCTCGGGTGAGTCGGTTCATCACCCCACACTCCAGCTTCCTCGTCTGTCACTCTGCCTGAGAATTTACCCACTACTGAACTCAAGGAGTCGGCGTGAGGATTAATGCAGACATGTAGAGAAAATATTTTAGAAAGACACATATCGAATGTAGAATGCTGTCACTGTTGACCTTAGGCAAAAACATGTGTCGTCTTGCAACACTCACTCCCGCTGCTGATTTTTGGTCACACCATCAGAATATGCACTGAGCCGGTTTACCTCTCACTCACGCTCTAGCTGAACTATTAATGGTCCGTCTGAAATTCAGTACGGCAGCTTCCATTTTAATCTGCAATTCTCACAAAATCTACCTGTGTGAGTAAGAATGCTAACTTTTTAACTCCCAAACAATAAACAAATCAGGCCACTTAAAAATAGAATATATAACCAAGCCACTCTTGGAATAAGCCCTTATAGCAAGGTTGAAGAATACAAGATTAATGTACAAGCCAACTGCCTGTCTATGTACCAGCAATGAAAAAGTGGAATTTGAAATTAAAAACACAATACCATTTACATTAGTATCAAAAAGAGTACATAGGTATAAATCTAACAAAACAGTACCAGATCTATAAGGAAAACTCTAAAGCCCTGATGAATGAAGTAAAAGAACTAAAAATAAATGGACAGATATTCCATGTTTATGTATAGGAAGATTCAATATTGTCAAGATGTCAGTTCATTCCACCTGGATCTATGGGTTCACTGCAACCCCTTTCAAAATCCTAGCAAGTTATTTTGTGGATACCGACAAACTTGATTCTCAAGTTTACATGGAAAAGCGAAAGACCCAGAAAAGCCAACACAATATTGAAGAACAAAACTGGAGGAATGACAATACTTAACTTCAAGGCTTTCTATAATCAAGAAAGTGGGTATTTGCAAAAATGGACAAATAGATCAATGGAGCCAAGAATAGGCCCACATAACTATAGTCACCTGATTCGACGAAGGAACAAAAGCAAATAAAGTGGAACAAAGAGAGTTTTTGCAACAAACGGAGGTGGCAAAAAAGGACATACACATGCAAAAAAGGTTATTCTAGACACAGAACTTACAACTATCACAAAAATTAACTCAAAATGGGAAATGCAAAACCCAACACTATAAAACTCCTAGAAGATAATACAGGAGAAACCTAGAAGACCTCACGTACGGTGACGGCTTCAGATGCAACACCAAAGGCACATCTGTGGGAGAGATCACTGAGTAGCTTCATCACAGTTACAATCATCTGCTCTGTAAAAGACAATGTCAAGGGAATGAGAAGACAGGTCACAGACTGGGAAGGAGTATCTGGGACAGACGCACCTGATAAAGGCCTGTCGTCTGAAATATAAAAGAACTCGGAACACTCAACAGTAAGAAAACCATCTGACTAACAAACAGGCCAAAGACCTGACAGGCTCCCTGTCACCACAGCAGGTACACCACGAGCAAACATGCACGAGGGATGTTCCGAATCCTACCCCATCCGGGAAATGCAGACTGAAACGAGATACCACCAGATGCCTATCAGAACCGTCAGAACCCGAACACCGACACCACCGAGTGCTGGTGAGGATGTGGGGCCACGGGAAACTCTCGGTCCCTGCTGGTGGGAGGCAAACTGGCGCAGCCACATGGAAGAGTTCGGTGGTTGCTCACAAAACTAAGCTTCTGTGACACGATCCAGCAGTTGTGATCCTTGGTATGGACTCAAAGGAGGTGTAAACTCATGTCCACACAAACCCTCAACACGGATGTTTACGGCAGCTGTACTCCTAACTGCCCGGACTTGGAAGCGGCCAAGACGTGCTTCAGTTGGACAAGTCAACTGCGGTCCATCCAGACAATGGCATGTGATTCAACACCACAGAGAACTGAGCTACCGAGCCACGAGGAGCAGAGGGCCTTGACCGGCTATCAGGGAGAGAAGCCCACCTGAAATGGCGACACACTGTCCGATTCCAACTGTGTGACATTCTAGAAAAGGCAGAACTATGGAGACGGTGAGGGGCTCAGTGGTTGCCAGGGTTCGGAGCGAGGGCAGAGGGATGACCAGGAAGGGAATGAGGACGGTCAGGGCAGTGGAAGTACTCTCTCTGCATGACACTGTAAACATGGATGCAGCATCAGGCATTTGTCCAAACCGATCCAATGCACAGCCCTGGAAGTGCATGCTCATGCGAGCTATGGACTTGGGTGACAACCACACATCGACGCAGCTTCACCGCTTGTAACAAATGTGCTACTCTGGTGGGGGACACTGATGACGGCGGCCGTTAGCAGAGGCAGGAGGTAAATGGGAAATCTCCATTTCTTCCTCTCAGTTTTCTGTGAACCATAAACTGCTCTTAAAAAATTAAGTCTTTAAGGAAAAAAACTGGAAAAAAATGCAACATACTGTTTTACATATTGGAGGTCGTAAGTATCAAGGAGACCACGGTAACTGGCGAGCACAAGTTGGGGGCAAGTCACAGTCACCTCCAGCCATTAAAAGTGGCTGCTGTGATTAAAAAGTCTAGGTGCTAACCAGACTGGATTTTTCACCATAAAAATTCTGATTTTTATGTAAAATATCCTGATTTTTAAATGTACAGAAGTGTATGGATCAAGAAAACCTAGATCATGCTGTAGTGGCAAAGAACTACGGACCTTTGTGGTTTTAAACAGGTTTATTTTTACTAATGCCACGTGCCAGCTGAAGGTCAGCAGGGGTTTCTGCTGATCAGTCTCTCAAAGCTCTGGCCACCACCTAATGTACAGCCACCATTTAGGGGTGCCTAACCCCGGGGTTGGGGGTGAAGAAAGCTCGTTGGAGCAATTAATTGTTCTGACCTAGTAAGTGACCTATGCTTCTGCTCAGTTCAGTGCTGACCCAGCGCTGGGTCCTTCCCCAAATAAAATGGCAACGGGAACACACTGGGAGACGGGAACTAGACGCATTTGGCAAACGGCACTAATGATCATCACACTATTAATTTAAAAAGAAAATTTTAAATTAAATAATCCAAAAAAAAGAAAAAAAGAAAAAAAGAAGCACATTTGAGGTTGATTTTATCTAAGAGGCTACAGGTTTGTGATCTCTGCTCTCATCATAAGCCCACTGTCCCCACCCACAAACACTGTCTGAATCCTGTGGGGATCGTTCCCTCCTTTCACTTTCTGTACCTCACGCTGCATCCTCAAGTATTTGTAAAATATTTTATTTAGTTGATTCAACTTTTTACAAAGGGGATCATGCCATATGGAATCTTTCTTTAACCTAATGTGATATTGCCAATATTCATCCAAATTCTTCATGTCACTGTAGCCATTTATTTTTAACACTATATAATATTCCACTGTGTGAATAAATCAGAGTCTGCAGATCTTCCATTGACGGGCATTTAGGCTGGTTCCAGATTTTTGCTCCTGTGAGTATTGCTGTTATGTCTTCTGCTGCACATGCAGAAGAGAATTTGCCTTAGATCCTATCCACGGGCTGCTGCGTCACGAGGTCTACCCGCAGAGAAACGCCAGGCTGCCCCCCAGAGGGCTGCCCTCGAGCAGCGCGTAAGGTCCTCCGGACGCCCTCTCTCTCCCACACACAATACGGCCGTGCCTTCTAATTTTTGGGATCAAATGGGTGTGAAGAAGCATCTCACTGCGCTCCGATACGCAAGTCTCTGCTCACTGATGGAGGTAAGAACGTCGTCATATTTCTTTTTCTAAGAAATATCTAGTCATGTTTTTTGTCAATTTTCCTTTTGGTTTGCTTGTATTTTTTAATGTATCAGCAGTAATTGGAAAACATAATTAAAGAGAAAATATTTCAATACCAGAAATTATCAAGTGTCTAGGAACAAACTCAGCAGGACGATGTTCAAAACACCTACAGGAAAAATTCTGAAATTTTATTGAATTATGAGAGACCTAAATAAATGGAGACATACACCATGTCAGTGGTACTGTTACTAACGGGAAGATCATATCTCCCCAAACTGACCTATATTAATGCAATTCCAACCAAAGTCCAACTGGGTTTCTCATGAAATTTGGTAAGATTATTAAAAATTTTGTATGAAACAGTAAAAGTTCAAGAATACCAAGAAAACTTCCAAAGGAAAAGAGGAAGGGCACCAGACTAGCAGATATCAGGAATATTACGAAGCTCTGTATTCAACGCCACTAGCCCTAGGTATCGGGAGTGCTGCTAAGGGCCGCGCTGCCGTGCACAGAAGGGAGAACTGAGAAACAGGTCCACACACGTGTGAGGCCTTGTACATGACACAGCACCGCAGATCAACAGCAAAGGGCGAGATCCTCCATAAGTGGACCTGGGGAAAAAATGGTTATACACAAAAGATAAAATCAAATCCATACCTCACACCAAATAAAAATGAACAGAACACTCTCCACGTGGATTAAGGACTCAAATATCACATCAACACTTAGAACTCTTGGTAGAAACACATTCCTTTATGTAGTGTTTTGAATGTTACAACACAGTAAAAATGATTTTTTAAAAATCACTGAAAATAAAGACTAGTATTTTTTAGACCTTACGGTAGAGCACGGATTTCTTACAACAAAATATTGACTATAAAAAAGGGACTGACAAATGTGACCATATTAAAATTAAATACATTGTTTATCAAAAGATAATAGTTAAATGGCAAGTTACAAACTGGGAGAAGATATTCACAATATAACTGGCAAAGAACTTTACTATTTTAAGTGACTGACAGTGCAGGGCTACTTGCTACTGAAGCGCGACTTGTCTTAACCTCACTCCATGAGCGCCACCGCCTTGAAGGCGCCCGCATATTTGCCCCCCCCGCCCCCCCCGTGATCACATTTCCTTGCCTCCCACCTCTGTGAATTGTTTCATTCCTTTTTCTTTACAGATTTCCTGTATTTCTAAAAGGATATAACTTTGTATAATTCTGATCTTCTGTAAATAGCATCAGAGTATATATACCGCCACTTACTCTTCTCATGTATTTACAAAATTTACACGCTAATGCATGTGGCTGTCGTTCAGAAGAAGTCATTGGACATCACACCACCATCTGTTTACCACTCCCTGTTAATGAACTGAAGTTGCTTCCAGATTTTTACTATCATGAACAGGGGTGCTAAGAACATTCTTCACCTTCCCCAAAGCACCCACGGGTTTCTCTGGAGTACTGTGCTTATTTTTGCTGGTTTAATGTATCTTTAAGTCTGGAGAGCAGCTGGAAGGACCCTCTAAAATTAAAGATCCAGCTCTTCTAGCGTCACAAGTAAACCCAAGGCAGAAAGATTTAGCAGCAGAGAGATGTATATGCCCATCGGCTATGAATGTGCAAGGGTGCTGAGATGCTCTCTCCTCGAGGTGCTCGTGCTGTTAACACCTCACTGTGAAATGCTGGGCCTTGGAGTTAGGGTCCTTCGGCCCCCATTCTACCCCAAACTGCAGGGGGACTTAGAAGTTTACTTCTAGGTAACAAATGTACTGTTTAATCTAGACTTCACCACTGTCTTCTCTCCCGGGGCAAACTCGCCTCTGCTAACACAGGGCCGGTGGCACCTGCCCCGGATGCCCGGCTCCCCGACACGGTGGGCTCCCCGCCGGCTCCGCAGCCGGTTCTCACACACCCCGGACCCGCAACCGCACGCACGGCAGTGTGCCTGGTCGCCGGCCTGCCCGCTGCAGGAGCTGACACCTGTGGCCTCCCGTCAGACGGGGCGGAGGCCCTGGTGCTCTGCGCGTGTGAGTGTGAAGGATGCTGAGAACGGGGACGAGACTGGAGACCACAAAGCTGGAGTCGGTCCATCACACGCTGAAGCACACACAGCCTGCAGGACAGCTCCATCTCTCACTCACTCTGGCCCCATGTCACTCCCTTTCCCACTTCCCAGCCCCGTGCTAACGGGACGCGGGCTCACCTGGCACCACCCGACGGAAGGCCGCGGGGCTCATTCCCTCCCGGATCCCGGAACGTCCGCCGCACGCCGAGCGCCGTTCGCGTGGCCGGCTTCCCGCCGGGGCCCGGCCGCCCGACCCGCCTCCCCGCAGGCCCACCCCGCACTCCCGACCCGCCTTCTCCACGCGCGGGAGCGGAAGCACGACGGCCACCCCGACGCCGCGCACCGGCCCCTCGCCGTCCGGCCCCCACGGCGCCCGGCTTCCCGCAAACACCGCGGCGACCATCGCGCCTGGGCCCCAGGTGCGGTGCGCCGCGGGCTCCGAGTTCACACTCACTCGGTCCCGAGCTCCGCGCTCCCGACCGTCGTCCGCTCCCGGGAACTCCCGACTCCCTCGAGGGGCGCATCCCGCAGCCCGGGCCGCTCCCGGGAAACCGACCCCCAGCCAAGGCCAGCACGCTCTCCGGAGCGGCCGCACCCGGACGCCCAGGACGCCCCGGTGGCACGGCCCTTACCTCTTCCGCGCCGCAGCCGCCGCAGCTCCTCCTCGGAGAAGCCGGCCCAGCCCCGCGCCATCAGCCCGACCGCCGACCGGGGGCAGACCCGGCGCCGACTGCCAGCACGGCCGCCGGGCACATCCGGGTTCTGTCCGGCCGCGCCGCCCGGCCAATCAGCGCTCCGCGCCGTCCGCACGAGGCCCCCTGGCCCGGCGCGGGGTCCTGTTCTCCGAGGCTGCCCCCGGCACTGCCGGGCGAGGGGCACGAGGAGACCCGGGCCGCGCCCGGGAGCCCCGCTCCTGGCCCGGCGCTGCTCCCGCTGCCCGCTCTGTTGGAGCCGGGTTAGCCGTCTCAGGAGGACGGGCGGCCGATGGCGGTGGGGCGCGGGTGGAGCTGAGCAGGCAGGCGCGAAGCGGCCACGGATCTCGAGCGAGCGCGGCGCACCAGGCGCCTCTGGGTCCACTGCAGGTGCCCGCCGGGCGGTGCGCGCTGGGTGTCGGGGCCGCGGGCCCGTCTGCGCTGGGGAGGAGCTGCGGCGGCGGCGCCTGCAGGGTCGCGGGCGGGCCCAGCTGCCCCGCCTCCTTCCCGAGGGCGGCCCCAGCCTCCCCGTCAGCGGACTCCGGCCGCTGCCGCTTCACCGGAGGCGCCGTCCCCGCGCCCCGACGGGCCCTGCCCAGTGCGGTTCTCCGTGCGACCGATGCCGGCCGGGTTCTGCGTGTTCCCGGAGGACGGGCGCGAGGGCCGTCACGGTGCGCGCCCCATGTGCACCTGCCTCCTCGTCTGTTGCATTAAGAAAACACATCATTTTGGCTCACGTTTAAAAAGCCCAGCTGTGCCTTTAGGCTTTAGAGCGCCAATATGTTGAAACTAGTAAAGGAATTGACTGAAAATAAAATACACCGAGAAAAGGCTTGGAACGAGCACATGAGGTTTAAATAGGTGATCAGACGTGAAGGATGTTTGCAATAGCCCTGTGACCTTGGATCTTTTAATCTTAAAGTCGGTTTTTGCCATTGAAGTGTAGACAGGGATTCATGTTAAATATGGACTCATTTTTCCTGACGTTTGAAAATTAAAATGCCATCGAAAAGGATTGGAGAGGACAGATTTCATGCAGTTTTTGGACATACACTACATGGGTTAAAGGTACAGACTCTAGCTCCAAAATACTAGATGGGACTCAGTAGCAGAAGAAGTTAATTCGTTTACCAGCCATCTAGTTTCATTAAACAAGATGAACCACCTCGTATTCCCACGTTAAATTTTCTACAAACTTTCTTTAGCTCACTCTGGGTGAACTTCAAGAATTATGAATAATCTCAGTAGAGGTGAAGATTAGGTATTTAAAAGGTTTGCATTAGCCCCTAATGAGAACCGAAGAAGAGCGAGGTGACAGTAAAAGACAACATGTTACAGAATTACAATGTCCAGTTTGGGAGGTTCAAAAACAGTTGTGGGTTGTTTGTCTTGGCTCTTGCTGGTGGTGACTGGTTTCTTCAAATGAAGTATAATATTTTATTGGGAGCTTATCTCCAAAGAAGTTCTTGGCTCTGTGAGAGTCCACTGGCTCCACCGATTGGTTTTGCTGGGCTCTAGACGTTTCAATTGCTTTAAACCAAATTTAAGGTGACTTTTTTCAACTTGTAGTATCAGTTTGGGTCTCACCCCCCATATATGATACAGGCTTAGGTATCAGTTTTCTGTAGGTGCCCTTAAAAAATTATATATATATATATATATATAGTATTTAGTATTTATATATGTTTATACATACATAGATACAAATAGCAGGCTTCCTTACTGCTTGTCCAGAGTGTTGAACTGAGTTTTCTTTTTAGATCCTCTGTTCTCACGTGGGCCATGTTTTTCAGGCTCTGAACTTAATTTCAGTGATCTGGTCTTCAAATATATATAGGAATCCCAACACCCTGTGCTCATATTCAGGTAGAGTCCCCCTTGGAATTACTTTCTGCATCTCTTTTTGGTTTAAGTTCTGTGATTTTTAAAAAAATAAAAACATGTTACATACTATTCAACATTTTTATGTTTAGGGCCAAAGAGGACCATCTCTGACAACTTAGACTATTGTATTGCGTCCAGTTGATTCTCTACCACATCAGCTAGGGCAATCTTTTCTAACAAATAAAAATCTAGTATCTACAGCCTGGTTGAAACTGAAGTGGATTCCTGTTGCACTTGAATAAAATCCCAGTCCCTAGATGAACGTGAATGATCTGACCCAACTCTCTCGTGACCATTAGGCTCTTTCCCATTACTCCACACTTCCTACACTCCAGCCAAACTGGCTTTCTTTGGGGTTTTAGAATGTGCCGATCTCCCATACCCTATTGCCCTACATGGGGCATTCTCAAATACTGTTCCATCTAGCTGTAATGATCTTTCCCTTGTCTGGCTAGTTCTTACTGCTTGACGTTTTGACCTAAATGTCCACTTAGACTTTCAATGGCCACCCTATCCAAATAACACCCACCTTCACCCCGGCCATTTCTGTATTCATTACTTTCATAGCACTAATTATAACACCTAAATTATTTGCATTTTTTGGTTTACTTGTTTATCTCCTATTTCCCTGTATTAGGCAATAGCTCCAAAGATAAGATGATGCATCTTTTGTTCGCCAAGCATGTAACAGTGTTTGACCTCTACTGAATGCTGGCATAAATATAAAAAAAATAAGCTTTTCCAAGTTAAGTATTAAGTTGAAGCATTTTTACATTTCATTTATTCTGAGATTCCTTTCTAGTATGAATTCCTGTAATGGTGAATAATATTAACCTCATTTATTGCTTATTGCTAGTTGCAGCCATAGACTCACTGGTCAGTAAATAAAAAACATTAAGAATAGGTGCTAAAAACATTAAAAATAGGTGCTATTTTATTTTTTATGAGGCCTTACAATAGTATTTCAGCAATATTCTGTAGTTTTCAACATATAGGTCTTGCACATCTGTCAGATTTATCCCTAAGTAGTTAAAAATATGATGCTATTGTAAATAGCATCTTTATTCAATTTTTACTTTTTGGGTCTACTATGTAGAAATAAAATTGATTTATTTATTGAGCAACTACGATAAGAACATTTAATAGCATTTTTAAAGATATTTAGATTCCATTGGATTTTCTACACAGATGATTATGTTGTCTGCAAATGGCAGCTGTACCTCTTTCCAATCTGCATGCCTTTATTTCTTTTCTTGCCTTATTATGTTAGCTAAATCCACTAATATTGAATAGAAGTGAGATTGGATATATTATCTTTTTTCTGACCTTAGGGGAAAGGCATAAAGTCTTCCACCATTAAGTATGTTGTTGGCTTTAGGTTTTTTTGTAGATGCCCTTTATCAGGTTGATGAGAATCTTTCTATTCCTTGTTTGCTGAGAACTTTTATCAGGAATGGATAATGGATTTTATTGCATGCTTTTTCTGGGTCTATTGAGATGTATGATTTTGCTTTTTGATAGTGTTAGTATGGTTAACTGCATTGATCAATTGGCCAATGTTATACCAATCTTGCATCCTGGAATAAACTCTACTTACACATAACATATTGTGCTATTTATATATTGTTGGACTTATAGCATGGGTATTAACTCTTCCTTGCGTATGTGGTGTAATTTGCCGGTGAAGCTGTCTGGAGTTTCCTTTGTAGGAAACTTTTCAACTACAAATTGAATTTCTTTGATAGATAAAGGTCTATTTAGATTATTTCTTCTTGATTTGCTTCTGGTAGTTTTTCTTTCAAGGTATTTGTTCATTCCTTCTAAATTGTTGAATGTATCAATTTGGCATCAATTTGTTATATTTTCTTATTGTGCTTAAAGGATTAACCCAGAGGGTTTGTGATGCTCAAACCCTACACATTCCGAAGAAAGGACTGGCCCTTGATTGGCTCCTGGGAGAAAACCTCGAAGTCCTTGGAATATCCTGCATGATAAGATTGTCATTATATACCTGGGGCCTTTGTGCTCATCAGATTTTATGCTAATGGTGTGATTTGGGGTGAATGCCTGTTTTTGTTCACCTGGATTCCTGGTCATGCTTTACCAGTTTGATCTCTGGGGAGGTGGAGACTGGTAACTGGGTTGAGATTCTTGGAGATATGATTCTATAATTTTCATCAAATTTGAAAATTTTCTGGCCATTATTTCTTCAAACATATTTTCTATTTGCCCCGGTCTCTTCTTTTGAAGTTTCATTACACATTTTTTAGTCACTTTTTATAGTTTATTGATGCTTTTTTCATATTTTAACTTCTCTCTTTCCCTCCTTTTGCTTCATTTCTATTGAAATGTTTTCAAGTTCACTAACATTTTCTTTCTCCAGTGTCTAATCTTCTGTAATCCCTCCCAGTGTATTTTTCATCTACAGATGTTCATTTTCAATCTTTTTAATATCTTTAATGTCTCTCTTTAACTTTCTGAATGTATGGAATATAATAATGATAAATATTAATATTTGATGATTTAAACATCTGTGTAAGTTCTGGGTCAGTTTGAATTGATTGAATTTTTCCCCACTATGATTTATATTTTTCTGCTTTTTCTGCATGCCTGGTAATCGTTTATTTCATTCAAGATGTGTATTTTACCTTATTGGGTGCTAGCTATTTTTGTTGTCCTGTACATATTTTTTGAGCTTTGTTCTGAGATGCAGTTAAGTTACTCTGAAATGGTTTTATGTTTTTGAAAACTACTTTTAAAATTTGTTAGACGTGACCAGAAATGTTCAGTCAAGACTGATTATTTCCTGCCACTGAGTCAAGAGTCTTCCAAATACGCATCCAGATGCTCTGCGGATGTGGTGGTTTTCCGGTCTGACAGGTGGCAGGAGTGACAGGAGCCGCCGGCCCGGCCCTGTGCAGGTGCAGCGAACCCTGTCCAAGCTTTGGGGAGCCCTCTTCCCGCCTCGCCTGGTGTCCTCAGCAGCATGTGCTGCTCACCACCCAGCCGAGTCCTCGAGGGGTGGTGGTGGCATCCGTGTGGCTCTGTTCTGTGCCGCCTTTTCCTTTCTGGTACTTTGTCTCACAGATTCTAACCGCCTCATTCTCCTTGGCTCAGGGGGTCCTGCAGGTCTCGCCTGGATCCCTCCACTCGGCTTCCCTACCGGGCCTGGGAGCTCTCAGGGCAGTGAATTGGGGCCCTCGTCTTATCGTTTTCCCATGTGTCGGGACCGCTGTCCTTGATTGCCTG